CAAAAAGCCGGCACCGCCACCACCACCACCAACACCCGCCAGATCCGCCACCGCTAGATCTACCAAAAAATCATATACAAAACCGTCAACACCTCACTGCCGTCGTCACAATTAACCACTGTCAACGATCGTGTGCAAAATCAGATTAAATCCGTTGCACAAAAACCACCGTCATTTTCAAGTCAGATTTACAACCACCATTTTCAAGTCAGATTTGCGCATCAAAGGACTACCACTGCAGCGTCGCCGTTGCGCCTTGAGCCACCGCCTTATCAGTCGGCGCAGTTCATTGCAGTGTCACCACCGCCTCATCAGTCACCTTGACCCACCGCCTTAGCCACCGCTGTTCATTGCAGTGTCGCCGTTGGGCCGTGAGCCATCGCCTACACGCTCCACGCCATTCAGAGAGAGGACAAAGAGGGGGGAGGAGGGGAGCAGCAGCGTCGCTGCCGTTCCATTCACAGAGGAAGGGCAGAGAGAGGGGGGAGCGTCGCCGCTGCGCTGTGAGCCACCACCTGCACGCTCGACACTGCCATTCCAAGAGTGTACAGAGAGAGAGAGAGAGAGAATGGAGAGGGAGGGGGGAAGACGGGAGAAGGAGAAAAATGAAAAATTAGGGTTTTAAATTTTTAATTACCTGATTTATGATTAGAAAACTTTGACACCTGACATTTGCACAGTAAAGTTTAAATGCCTGGAATATTGTAATTTCCTCTAAGAAAAGACACCAACTGGGTTATGGATTTGTTGGTTGGGCATGTTGCTTTGTTGTTTGGGCTTCATTATTTTCTGATGAATGGGTTTGATTTTGGAGACTTTAATGGATGCTTATGGGCCTGGGCAGTTTTGAATGGGTGTCGGGGATTGTATTTTATCATGGGTTGTGAGCAAGTGGGCTATAAATGGTGGTTTTTCTTCATGGGCTGATCTTTTGTGGACTAATTTTGTGTAAGCTTTGGAATGTGGCTTGATTTGCTTCCAATAAGGAAGTTGGGATCATATTGATGGGTCATAGAGATGAGAGAGATGGAAGTGCAGACCATTGAGTTTTGGTTGCTCAGATGATGAGCTAAAGTTTTGGTTTCTCGGAAGAGGATCATCTTTGGCTTTTTTTTTTTTTTTTTTTTTTT